CCCGGCCCCGCCGCCCGCGTCCCTTTTACTACAGAGTGTCACTTGGTGCCCGTGAAATGGAGTCTCGATAGTTCCGTGTTACCTTTCCTTTTCGGTTGGTTTGGGGTTTTTTTTGTTTTGTTTTTGTTTTGTTTCTTTTTTTTTTCCCTCCCCCCTCTTGAAAAGATTTATTAAACTTTATAGTTTATCTGGGTATGTTGGATGCTTTGACAATAAATGACTTTATTTTGTTCAAAGCACCGTGATGTTAATCGGCGCCGGGGGCGGGCGGTGGGCTGCGGGGCGGGAGCGGTGCCCCCGGCCGGGCCGGGGAAGGGGAAGGGGAGAGCCCGCCGCGTCTCCCCTCTGCTCTCCTTTCCCTCTCTCCTCCCTCCCTTCGGCCTTTTTTACATCCATCCCTCCTTCATCGCCCTGCATTTTATTCACCCTTTATTTCTCTCTCTCTTTTTCATCCTGCCCTTCCCTTCCTTTCGTCTTCCTTTTGTGTTTTTCGTTTTGTTTCATTGCTTTCTTTTTGCCTTGGATTTCTTTTTCTCTTTTTCTTTCTCTTTCTTTCTTTTTCTTTCTTTTTCTCTTTTTTCTTCCTGTCTCTTCCTCTCTTTCTCCTTTCTTCTATTTCTCCTTTTCCTTTTTGTCATTTTCCTTTTTGGTTTTTTCCTATTCCTTTTTGTTTTTGTTTTTGTTTTTTCCCTTCTCCTGTTCTCCTTTTTTTTCTGTTTTTCCTTTTCCTTTTTTTTCTTCCTTCCCAGCCCCTCTCAGGCCTCAGGCTCCCTGGTACAGCCCTACCTTTGCCCCACGCCACCCACCTACCCACCTCACCGCTGCCAGGAGACCTTATTGCTTCCCTCCCCAGCCCCCTGGCTCTCAGGGTGGGGGGACCCCCGACCCCCACTGGCCCTCGGTAGAGCCCCCGGGGGCTGCACAGGGCCTGGGGGGACTGGGGCCCCCAGCCCAGGGTGTCCTGGGGCAGGGAGCGCTTTGGGGGGCTGGTGGTGGTGTCCCCTCTCCTCCAGTGCCTTATTGGGGTGATGGGACCACAACCAGGGATGCACAGGAGAGCTCAGCAACGGGGGATCCTCCCTGGGCACGGGGGGACAGCCTGGTCCTACAGGCACCGCCTGCAGCGGGTGCATTTTGTGTCAGACACGCGTGGTTTTGGGAGTAAGGGAGAGCATGAGCCGACGCGGCAGCTCGGTGATGTGTTGCGAACCGACTTCCCCGCGAGGGCCGGGTGTCGCAGGGACAAGGCCGTGCGTGGGCCAGGAAAATACCCCCTGGCAGGAGGTGGTGTGCAAGGCAGGAGCCCCGGCCGCAGGCGGGGAGCCCCACAGCTCTGTGCGCACTGGGCTCTGGGGACCCCCAGCATCGGCTGGCGTTTGCCACGAGGTACCCGGACCCGCTGCGGAGGTTTTTACAGCGCCGTGGGAAGTTGGCTGGAGCTTCAGAGAGGACACACTTAAAAACTCGGTGCACTTTGAACCTTCTCGCCGCCCCCCGAGAGGAGCTGCGGCTGACCCCCAGCACTGGCCCCTCCATCCGTCAGAAGAGCGCAGGTGGGTCCCCGATACGAAACTGGCGTCACAGTCCGGAGGTTTTCCCCCATACAGGACATTTTCCGTTCCGATTGCTCCCCCCGCAGCCGCAGGCCGCGCTGGCATCATTCCCCCCGGCTTTCCCCTGGTGCTGTTCGCTCCATCACCCCACTTGCGTGGGGAACGCCAAAATTTCCCCGGCCCCCGGGACGGCGGGAATCACCCCCAAACCACGCGAGGTGTTCAAGCAATGCCCTCCGACTGCCATCCATCGCAGCCGGGAACTCGCGTGGCTCCACCTGGCTGCAATTAATTGCGGGGGCGAGGTCCTAATTACTCCCCGGGCAGTTCCCTGCGAGGCGGTGACATTCCGGCGGGGTCCCGCGGAGGCTCTGGGGGTTCCCTGCGTGTCCGTCCCGCGGTCCCGGGCGCGTTTGCCCGTGGGCGGGCGGTCCCCCCGCGGGACGGGGGCTGCCGGGGGCGGCGCGGGCGGGCGGGTACCGCCATCTAGCGGGGCGCCCGTCGGGGATGCTCGGCGGCGTCGCGGGGCTTCTCCGCCACCCCCGGCACCGCTTTCGGGGCTCAGCGCCTCCCTGCCTCCCGGGGAGGGGAGGGGAGGAGGTACGGGTGATGGGCAGCCCCCTGGTTTTGTGCTCTCGCTCTGCTTTTCGGGTCCTGGTGCTGCTGGGGAGCTGCTGTTTCGCCTTTTCTATCCTCACAGCCTTGCCCGCGATTGGGTATTGCCGGAGCCGGCTCTCAGCTGCGGGATCTCGGGCACTGCAGCGCTTATAGCATCTCTCAAATTAAGTGTAAATACTTGATGGCTTCTCGCAGCCGAGCGGCTGCGTGTGCCTCTGCAGCGGGTCGGGGCCCTGTCCTGCCCTGGCAGCCCCCCGCTTTCTCGCCCTTTTGTTCCTGCCCTGGCAGTGAGGACAGGGCTGAGCCCCACGACTTTACCTGTGGGCTCTGTTTGGGTAAGGGGCGGCACGGGCAACCCCTGAAAAATGCTGCCCTACAACCTGTGTACGGTGCAGCCAGAACCCTGCGGCATTACTGGTATAGAAAGCTCCCCCCCTTCCTCTACCTAAGCACTGAAAATGTACGGGACTTGTGGGCAGGCAATTTAATCTGTAAGACTATATTTTGGCAAAATCTAATATCAGGGTCAGAAGGGATAATTAAAACCCCAAACCTAGCTGATGCTATCTGCACACGCAGGGCATCGCATAGTAAGGGCAGGCAGCGTGCTCAGTCCTGTGCAGTTGTATATTGTAGGAAAGAGAGTGATGAGCATTTTCCTCCAGCCATAGGGGCTGAGGGCTTGGCCACAGCAGGTCCTTCACTCCCCAGAGCAGCACTGGCTTTCTTCGGGGTCAGAGTTAGAACCACCACCCAAATACTGCTGTTTTGTCAATCAACAGTAGTGCCTTCTGTGAAATGGGGAGGAAGGGAATGCCCCCCCTTTTTTTTTTTTAGTGTCTTTCCCTGTCGTTGGGCTGAGGCTGTGCAGCATCTCTGCTCAGCAGCAAGCGTGAGCAGCCACCGCAGCCTGCGGCAGGGCAGAGGCCGGCCGGGCTGTGGCACCAAGCAGACCTCCCCCAGCACACGCGGGACCCTCTCCAGCATCGCAGCCCAGAGAAGGCAGCGCCGAGGTGCGACTTGGGTGTTTCCTCGGGAGGGAGCTGCTCCTGCGAGCCTGCAGCACAGCCTGCAGCTGCATCTTCCACCCAAATCCACCCTGTGAGTTGCATCTTTAGCGTGCTTGGGCATGAGGAAGGGCAGCCTTCAGCCCCTTGCCCACCCCCCGCTGTGCTCAAGGCAAGGCTGTGCCATCTGTGGCCGGGCCATGCTGCAAATAATAATAATAATAATAATAATTCTAAAAACTGCCAATCTGAATGCTGTTGCCGGGGTGGGGTGGGCAGGCTTGCACCCACAGCAGTTACTATTTGAAAGCAAATCTGTGTTGCGTTGATTCTAATATGTGTCAGTGGTACGCATGGGCAAAACTGTGGTTTGGGGTTTTTTTTTGTTTGCTTTTAATATGACAAGCCGCAGTCGGGCAGCCACAGGCAGCAGAGCCGCAGCTCGCGCGTCCCCGGGCTGAATCTCTGCCCTGGGGCCCGATCCTGTCCCCACCGCAGCCCGTGGGACCTTTGCCTCTGGCTCCCCGCAGCAGCAGGTTCAGCTGTGGATTCGCACCCGCGGGCGGCGGAGCTCCCCGGCTGCACGGGTGCGGGCTCAACAGAGCTGCTTTCACCCAGATTCTTCTTTTCGCTCTGGACAGTGCCACCTGAGCGAGGTTTTCGTGGGGGTCAGCCCCCTCCCAGCTCTCCAGAGCATCCTGGCAGCGCCGCCTGCACGCCCCATCGCAGCCTGCAGAGGTTGCCCAAAAATCTCTGTGCTGGTTTTTCTGCTAAGCAGGAGGACGCGAAGCAGCCTGCTGGAGGGATGAGCGTCTGCTGCCCAGGCAGTGACACCGTTTGCTGCCGTTGCTCCTGAGCAGGCTGAGCTCCTCTTCGCGAGGTGTGTATCGCTAGTTAACCTGTCACTGGGCAGGCTGGTGACATTGGAAAAACAGCTATTACGGTTTCATTGTAATAATCCGCTTTTAAAAATGGGCTATTTCTGTGGCTGTCTGAGAACAGACTGAAATAGTTTACTTGCTTTGAAAATAATACGAGCTCCACTTTGGAGCCAAGACCAGACCCTGCTGCTAAGGTCTTATTAGGAGGGGGAAAAGATCTTGCCCAGTACAGAAGGTATTGATGGTGGGTTTGAAACAAATACACACAGTGAGGAAGTCTCTGTCAAATATGGTGCTGTTCTGCAAAACGCTAGCAAATACCTGGCTTGCTTTGCATTTTTTTTAAAGAGAGGTTCTTTTTCACTCATTAACATTGATTGTATTTCCTTACATGTTTCCTTTTACAGCAGCTGTACCTTGTGCCCATCACAGCGTTAATGGGTCGCTTCCCCTGCCTGGTCCCCCAGGTAGGAAGAGGGCAGAGCCATCCGGGAGCGTGGCACTGCCCGTCTACGCTCCTGCGCCTCAGCACAGCCCTTTTCCGCGGCGATGGCTTTTGAGCTTTGCTTACGCTGGGGATGTGCTGCAGCCCCGGGCCTGGACAGCCTGCAGGGTCCCGAGGGTCCTTGCTGTGCAGAATTGTTCCCGGGGGTGTATGGATGTGCACTGATGTGCCAACGCACTGCTGCTCCCGCCGCAGATCCCCCTTGGGTACCACCTGCCCACCAGAAATCCCTCTGCGTTGCTTGGAGGGGGGGGCTTGTGGGTTTGCCTTCTTTTGAGGGGGTCTGTGCTGGTGTCAGAGGTGACTGTGCGTGCCTGGGGATGCACCAGCGTGTCCTGTGTTGACGATAAGAGTGGGTAAGTGCGGCCAAATTGCTCGAGGTGGTGTGCGAGGGCTGTGGCACATGTGGGACCAGCCCGTGCCCACCGCCTGCGGTGTTCAGTGTAACGTCCATCTTCAGCTTCACTATATTTTTACACTATTTTTTGTGTTTTTTCACTATATTTACACTATATTTTGTCTGAGCAGACCAAGCTGACCCTCGAGGGCAGGAGCTGTCTGTCCTTGTCCTGCACGCCTGCTGCCAGCAGAAACGCAGTGTGTGGCAGCCCCGTGCGTGGGGACGTGCCGCGGGGGAAGATGTGCTCAGGCTCATCTCAAACGAAGCACCTCGAGCCCTGGGCGCAGCGTTGCCTGTTCCTGCAGCCATGGTCTCTCAGGAGCAGCAGCGTGCCGGGCTGGCGTTCCCCAGTGGTGACGTGGCTTCAGAGTAACGCTGGTGGCTTTTGTGCCCGTGGGGAAGGGGTGCATGTCACTTGGCAGCAGCTGGGTTCCCCACAGCACCTGGGTGATGATCACCTTAATTAAATTAAGCTGGTTTAAAGCATGTAATAACACATTCTGCTCTCAGGTCTGCTTCAGGGACCAAGGCTCGCAGCTTCCCCCAGGAGCAGGGACACCTCCCGAGGGGACACGCAGGGCTGTCCTGGGGTGCAGCGTGACCCGGGGTGCTGCCACCCCCCTCCTGCTGCAGGTGAGTCTCCTTCAGGCCCCAAATCCTCAGCGCAAAGGCTTTTTTGCGAGCTCCTGGGGTGGCGCGGGGTACATTTCCCCAGGGAGCTGCTGGACCCACAGCAATGCACGAGCACAGGGACACGGCGTGGCTCCTCAGTCCCCGGGGCAGGTTGCATCCAGCCCGCTACTTCTCTGCTAATACGGCAAAATAAACCCCCATGTGAGCGAAGAAGCAAGCGCCGTTGAAGGCCTGTCGTGCTTTCCCCGCGAGGCCGTCCCGTAGGGCGCTGGGGTAGCCTGGCACGGCTTGGCTCGGGGCCCTCATACCCATACACGTACATCCCGCGGGGACCGGCGCTGCTTCCTATAAACACAGGGCTGGCGGAGCGCGCGGCGGCGGCTCGGGCACGGCCAGGGATACAGCTGTGCCGGGCCGGCGTCTGGGGGGGGGTGTCGCGTTCCTGCCAGGGCTGAGCGCTGCCCCCAGTTACACAGCAGATGAAGCAGAGGCTCAGAAGAGCCCTTCTCCTCTTCAAGCAAGAGATTGTACGCTTGAAACCCAACTTATCCTCTCCATTTGCTCAAAGTTTTCTCTGTAACCAAGCCTTGAATAATTTAGGGAACATAACATCAGCATTAGGCTTCGGAAGCTGCCGGTGTGTGTGTAGGGGCTGCTACTGCCAAAGGCAATTATACTGCGTTATTCCGGGAAATTGACTGTTATATCTACTTATTTATTTACACTTAAGCATCTTTTTTTTTTTTTTTTTAAATAAGTTACACTACATAGGCATGTGGACTATCTGAAATTAAACCTAATGCCTTGTGTTAATGAATAGATTCAAATGAAAACAACCCAAGATCATGTAGTTCATGCCCAGAGGGCAGTTTGGGAGTTTTCTTTCTTATGATTTCATCGTGAAGATGAAAATATGCCATAAGGACAATACTTTGCCGAATGTATGTGGCTGGCTGGGCTACCGCCCTGATGGGGGCACGGGAGTCCCCCGAGGAGGGTGACAGCATCCTGCAGACGAGCAGGAGCCCCCACGTCAGGCAGGACCCCACCTCTCAGGCAGGGTACCCGTGTCCTACCCCACAGCAGAGGAAAGGGGAGAGTGCAGCGGGTGAGACCTGAGAGGGTCTGGCTCTGGCGGTACCCTCTGGAACAGGTCGTGACCCTGCAGCACGGTGGGGCCGCCGCTGACAGCAGGTCTAGAGGACCAGCAAGCCCACCTGGCGAGTGTCACCTTCTCGGTAGCCTTTCCAATGGCCTCACCCCACGGGAATACGAGTTTTTGGGGACTTCTCCATTGCGGTGGAGAGGGGGAATTGGTCCAGAAGCGTGTGTGAGCAGAGCGTGCCTGGCAGCCGGGGCAGGGCCAGGAAAGCTGGTGGACACTACGGAGACGGATACTAGGGTCAAAATTTGGGAGGCTGGGCTTGCTGGTGAGCCTGTGG